TTAGGTAGAGTCTCAGTGTAGAGTGAAGGTATCTAGTTAGGTAGAGTCTCAGTGTTAAGTGAAGGTATCTAGTTAAGGTAGAGTCTCAGTGTTAAGTGAAGGTATCTAGTTAGGTAAAGTCTCAGTGTTAAGGTAGAGTCTCAGTGTTAAGTGAAGGTATCTAGTTAAGGTAGAGTCTCAGTGTTAAGTGAAGGTATCTGGTTAGGTAGGTCTCAGTGTTAAGTGAAGGTATCTAGTTAAGGTAGAAGTCTCAGTGTTAAGGTAGGTCTCGAAGGAAGGTATCTAGTTAAGGTAGAGTCTCAGTGTTAGGTAGAGTCTCAGTGTTGAGTAGAGTCTCAGTGTTAAACCTTCGACCATTTTAACATAATACCATCAGGTTAATTACACGTTTACCTGTGTAGTTAAGGTAGCGATAACCAGGTATAACATTAACTCAGGCTTAACTCACTTCACAACAGCCAAATATATTAACAGAATTCAATGTATATTTTGAATTATGACAGGTGTTTGTGACAGGTGTTTGTGACAGGTGTTGTTTATGACAGGTGTTTATGACAGGTGTTTTTGACAGGTGTTTATGACAGGTGTTTATGACAGGTGTTTATGACAGGTGTTTATGACAGGTGTTTATGACAGGTGTTTATGACAGGTGTTTATGACAGAGTGTCTATTCAATTCAACTAGCCTTAATAGACCACTAATCAGCGTTCCTCTGTACATAATAGGTAGGTAATTAATGGAATCAAAGCTAACAGGTAAATGTAATTAGTGGAATGAAAGCTAACAGGTAAATGTAATTAGTGGAATGAAAACTAACAGGTAAATGTAATTAGTGGGATGAAAGCTAACAGGTAAATGTAATGAGTAGGATGAAAGCTAACAGGTAAATGTAATTAGTGGAATGAAAGCTAACAGGTAAATGTAATATGGGATAGCTAACAGGTAAATGTAATTAGTGGAATGAAAGCTAACAGGTAAATGTAATTAGTGGAATGAAAGCTAACAGGTAAATGTAATTGAGTGGGATGAAAGCTAACAGGTAAATGTAATTGAGTGGAATGGCTAACAGGTAAATGTAATTAGTGGGATGGCTAACAGGTAAATGTAATTAATGGAATGAAAGCTAACAGGTAAATGTAATTAGTGGAATCAAAGCTAACAGGTAAATGTAATTAGTGGAATGAAAGCTAACAGGTAAATAGTGTGGAATGAAAGCTAACAGGTAAATGTAATTAATGGAATGGCTAACAGGTAAATGTAATTAATGGAATGAAAGCTAACAGGAAAATGTAATTGGTGGGATGAAAGCTAACAGGTAAATGTAATTAGTGGAATGAAAGCTAACAGGTAAATGTAATTAGGAAGGTTAAATAATTAGTCGACTCTAAATTCCTACAAAAATACGAATTATATTAAATTACTATTGTATTTAATTATCCTAAGGGGTGGTAGGTGATGGTAGGTAGGTGAGTGGTAGGTGATGGTGTGGTAGGTGATGGTAGTAGGTGATGGTGGTAGGTGATGGTGGTAGGTGATGGTGGTAGGTGACGGTGGTAGGTGACGGTGGTAGGTGATGGTGGTAGGTGATGGTGAGGTAGGTGAGTGGTAGGTGATGGTGGTAGGTGATGGTGGTAGGTGGTGGTGGTAGGTGGTGGTGGTAGGTGATGGTGGTAGGTAATGGTGGTAGGTGATGGTGGTGGGTGATGGTGGTAGGTGATGGTGGTGGGTGATGGTGGTGGGTGACGGTGGTAGGTGATGGTGTGGAGTGATGGTGGTAGGTGATGGTGGTAAGTGATGGTGGTAGGTGATGGTGGTAGGTGATGGTGGTAGGCGATGGTGGTAGGTGATGGTGGTAGGTGATGGTGGTAGGTGATGGTGGTGAGCGATGGTGGTAGGTGATGGTTGGTAGGTGATGGTGGTAGGTGATGGTGTGGAGGATGGTGGTGGGTGATGGTGGTAGGGGTGGTGGTAGGTGATGGTGGTGGGCGGTGGTGTTGGGTGATGGTGGTAGGTGACGGTGGTAGGTGATGGTGGTAGGTGATGGTGGTAGGTGATGGTGGTGGGTGATGGTGGTGGGTGATGGTGGTGGTGATGGTGGTAGGTGATGGTGGTGGGTGAGGTGGTAGGTGATGGTGGTGGGTGATGGTGGATTGATGGTAGTGGGTGGTGGTGGTGGGTGATGGTGTAGGTGATGGTGGTGGGTGACGGTGGTGGGTGACGGTGGTAGGTGACGGTGGTGGGTGATGGTGGTAGGTGATGGTGGTAGGTGATGGTAGTAGGTGATGGTGGTGTGGGTGATGGTGGTAGGTGATGGTGGTAGGTGATGGTGGTAGGTGATGGGTGGTGACGGTGGAAGGAAGATTATAGACAGGTAGACAGGTGGGGACAGGTAGACGGGTGGGGAGACTATTCTGGGACACCCTGTATATAAATTCCCGGTAAATTTGCGTTATTTTGCCGGGATTTTTTTTGGGGGGGTCGTGTGTGTGTGTGTGTGTGTGTGTGCGTGTGTGTGTGAGTGTGTGTGCGTGTGTGCGTGTGTGTGTGCGTGTGTGTGTGGCCGCCCCCAAAGCTGTTACAGTCATACACGGTTCAGTCACGATCATAAGTGGTAATACATTCAATATTGGCTCAGTGTTACAGCTGATTACAGAGGCTAGAGGGAACACGTGTTACAGCTGCACAATACTCACAGAACACGTGTTACAGCTGCACAATACAGACAGAACACGTGTTACAGCTGCACAATACAGACAGAACACGTGTTACAGCTGCACAATACACACAGAACACGTGTTACAGCTGCACAATACAGACAGAACACGTGTTACAGCTGCACAATACACACAGAACACGTGTTAAGAAGCTGCAATAATACACATTAGAACACGCAAGTTAAGAAGCGCGTAATAACACACAGAACACGTGTTTCATAGCTGCTGCACAATATTTCACAGAACACGTGTTACAGCCGCTGCACAATATAAGCAGACAGAACACGTGTTACAGCCATGTAATAATACTCACAGAACACGTGCTACAGCTGCACAATAAGTGGTGACAGAACACGTGTTACAGCTGCACAATACAGACAGAACACGTGTTGCCAGCCGCACAATACAGATTAAGAACACGTGTTACAGCTGCACAATACACACAGAACACGTATTACAGCTGCACAATACACACAGAACACGTGTTACAGCTGCACAATACACACAGAACACGTATTACAGCTGCACAATACACACAGAACACGTGTTACAGCTGCACAATACACACAGAACACGTGTTACAGCTGCACAATACACACAGAACACGTGTTACAGCTGCACAATACAGACAGAACACGTGTTACAGCTGCACAATACACACATAACACGTATTACAGCTGCACAAAACAGCTGTAATATAAAAAAGTTAACATCTCATATACAAGAAAAAATAAACACATTTTCTCTTCAGTAAAACCAAAAAGCTTTCACAGGAGTAAATTCAAGCTTATTATTCCTGTAGATTAGACACGACAGCTTATTTCACCTGAAGATTATATTTTCCAGCTTATTTCACTTGAAGATTAGACACGCCAGCTTATTTCATCTTATATTTTCAAGCTTATTTCACCTTATATTTTCAAGCTGATTTCACCTTATATTTTCCAGCTTAATACACCTGTAGATTAGACACGCCAGCTTATTTCACCTTATATTTTCCAGCTTATTTCACCTGAGAATTAAGACACCCTAACTGGGGTGTCTAATCTTCAGGTGATCAGAAGAAGTAACCAGCTGATGATCTGTGACGTCATGGGCGCCTCTTATATTGTCGTGAGATATCTTCTGTGACGTCATGGGCTCCTCTTAGTTGTCGTGAGATATCTTCAGTGACGTCATGGGCGCCTCTTATATTGTCGCGAGATATCTTCTGTGACGTCATGGGCGCCTCTTTGTCGTGAGATATCTTCTGTGACGTCATGGGCGCCTCTTATATTGTCGTGAGATATCTTCTGTGACGTCATGGGCGCCTCTTATATTGTCGCGAGATATCTTCTGTGACGTCATGGGCTCCTCTTAGTTGTCGTGAGATATCTTCTGTGACGTCATGGGCTCTTATTATTTGTCGTGAGATATCTTTGTTTACGATGGGGGAGAAAGTCACTGTGGAGGAGAAATTCTAGTCCCTCTGGTGGTATAAATATTTTCCGCGTGCGTTTTGGCCGGACTAAGAGATCCAGCATGACGTGAAGTAACATTATTCGCTAAACTTTTAACCGAACATCTTTTAAAAAGCTCATGAAAAGTATCAAAGCTATTACTCTGTTGTCGATCTTGATTTAACGATTTAGAATAGGCTCGTTTCCTCTCGTCTGCCGTCTTGTAAACATTGCTACCTTGTTGATGTTGAAATTCCTTAACAACATCAAAGTTCTTGAGTCTACGAACTTCAGGACAATTCTCTATCATAGTGTTATCAATAAATCTCTTTTCCTTATGAGTTTGTGAGTTATTTAAAGGTGTCTTGTGAGTTTGTGAGTTAGATAAAGGCGTGTGGTGTTTAGGGGGCTCATGGTTGGTTTCATCGGTACAGGGGTTCGATCTGACCTCTGTATAGGTCATCGTTGAGGGGTCGGCAGTGGGGGGAGGGGGCGAGGAGGGGGTTTGGCAGTAGAGGGAGGAAGGGTGAGGAGGGGCTGGCAGTAGAGGGAGGGAGGGGCGAGGAGGGGTTTGGCAGTGGGGGAGGGGGCGAGGAGGGGCCGGCAGTGGGGGAGGGAGGGGCGAGAGGGGTCGGCAGTAGAGGGAGGAGGGGGCGAGGAGGGGTCGGCAGTGGGGGGAGGGAGGGGGGCGAGAGGGATGGCAGTAGAGGGAGGAGGGGTCGAGGAGGGGTCGGCAGTAGAGGGAGGAGGGGCCGAGGAGGGGCAAGGTCTCGGTTGGATCACTATACAGGGTGGACACGAGGGATGAAGGGCCAAACCAAGAGTGCCAAGGGGGCTGCTCGACCTACTACCATGAGAGGGCTGAGGGCTGAGGGCTGTGCTTGATCTGGGCTGCCGTTGAATTGGCGTTGATGGTCTGACTGTCTGTTGAGCTGGCGTTGACTGCTTGACTGTCTGTTGAGCTGGCGTTGACTGCGTAACTGTCTGTTGAGCTGGCATTGACTGCTTGACTGTCTGTTGAGCTGGCGTTGACTGCGTAACTGTCTGTTGAGCTGGCATTGACTGCTTGACTGTCTGTTGAGCTGGCGTTGACCGCTTGGACTGCCCTGCCGGAGTCGGCTGACTGCGCAATCAACAGCCTGCTGGCGCTGGAGTTGACTGTTTGACTGTCTGTTGAGCTGGAGTTGATGGTCTGACCGTCTGTTGAGCTGGCGTTGACTGCTTGACTGTCTGTTGAGATGTCGTTGACGGTCTGACTGTCTGTTGAGCTGGAGTTGATGGTCTGACTGTCTGTTGAGCTGGCGTTGACTGCTTGACTGTCTGGCTGTTGAGCTGGAGCGACTGTCTGACTGTTCGCTGTTTCGTTGTACTGTTAAAGGCCTTGTTGCAATCCATCTGTGTATCCGTTTGTTTTAATAATTTGTACTGTGGCGTTGATAGAGAGGTGTTCAGGAGGCGTTGAGAGACGCGAGGAAGGGCAGGAGGCGTTGGAGAGCCGTTGAGAAGCGGTACAAGGCGTTGAAGGGCGTTGAGGAAGCGGCAAGAAGTGCTGAAGGGCGTTGAGAAGGGCAAGAGGCGTTGAGGACGTTGATGAAGGGCAGGAAGCGTTGAGGGGCGTTGAGGGAGGGCAGGAGGCGTTGAAGGGCGTTGAGGAAGGGCAAGAGGCGTTGAAGGGCGTTGAGGAAGGGCAAGAGGCGTTGGAGGACGTTGAGGAAGGGCAGGAAGCGTTGAAGGGCGTTGAGGGAGGGCAGGAGGGGCACCTCTCGGGGGACAAGGAGGTGGTCGAGTGGTTATGACTTGATCGTCAATTGGTTCAGTCAGAATGTTGCTGTCACAGATACTTGACCTCTTGTAACTAGTGCTTGAGGTCCTGCAGTCGGTGCTTGAGGACCCTTGAGTGTGTACCTTCTTGGAGGAGGACTTTGAATGGGAGTCCTTCTTGGAGGAAGACCCTGGCTGGGAGTCCTTCTTGGAGGAAGACCCTGGCCTGGACTCCTTCTTGGAGGAGGACCCTGGCCTGGACTCCTTCTTGGAGGAGGACCCTGGCCGGGAGTCCTTCTTGGAGGAGGACCCTGGCCGGGAGTCCTTCTTGGAGGAGGACCCTGGCCGGGAGTCCTTCTTGGAGGAGGACCCTGGCTGGGAGTCCTTCTTGGAGGAGGACCCGGGCTGGGAGTCCTTCTTGGAGGAGGACCCGGGCTGGGACTCCTTCTTGGAGGAGGACCCGGGCTGGGACTCCTTCTTGGAGGAGGACCCGGGCTGGGACTCCTTCTTGGAGGAGGACCCGGGCTGGGACTCCTTCTTGGAGGAGGACCCTGGCTGGGACTCCTTCTTGGAGGACCCGACAGACTCTGAGTGAGGACCCTGGGTTGGGACCTTGAGGAGGACCCTGGTGGACTCTGAGGAGGACCCTGGGACCCTTCTTGGAGGACCCTGGTGACCTCTGGAGGAGACCCTGGGTGGACTCTTTGATGAGGACCAAGCCGACCTTCTTGGAGGAGGACCCTGGCTGGGATTCCTTCTGGGAGGAGGACCCCGGCTGGGACCTCTTCTGGAGGAGGACCCCTGGCTGGGGACTCTCTTGAGGAGGACCGGCTGGGACTCTTCTGGAGGAGGACCCTGGCTGGGACTCCATCTTGGAGGAGTGACCCTGGCTGGGACTCCATCTGGAGGAGGACCCTGGCTGGGACTCCATCTTGGAGGAGACCCTGGCTGGGACTCCATCTTGGAGGAGGACCCTGGCTGGGAGTCCTTGGAGGAGGACCCTGGCTGGGACTCCTTCTTGGAGGAGGACCCTGGCTGGGAGTCCTCGGAGGAGGACCCTGGCTGGGAGTCCTCGGAGGAGGACCCTGGCTGGGACTCCTTCTTGGAGGAAGCCTCTGGTTTATGATGGGTCCTTAAGTGAGCCTTGTGTTCATTCCTCCACCTTGGACTTTGGTCGTGGCTTAAGGGTGACCCTGGTGGATGATCCTTCTTCAAGGGGGACCCTGGTTTGTGGTCCTGCTTTAAGGGGGACCCCGGAGGATGATCTCTCTTCAAGGGGGACCCTGGCCGTTGGTCTTGTGTGAGTGGAGACCCTGGTCTATGGACCTGTTTCAAGGGTGACCCTGGAGAATGATCTTTCTTTAAGGGGGACCCTGCCCTGTGGTCCTGCTTCAGGGGGGGCCCTGGGGGATGATTTTTCCTCAAGGGTGATCCTGGTCTGCTGTTGTCCTTCAAGGGCGACTCTGATCTAAGGACCTGCCTCAGTGGTGACCCTGCCCTGTGGTCCTGCCTCAGTGGTGACCCTGCCCTGTGGTCCTGCCTCACTGGGGACCCTGGGTTGTGGTCCTGCCTCAGTGGTGACCCTGGAAGACTTCTAACAGGTACTTCAGGTGTGACCAGGGACTGTGACCTGCTGAATGACCTTCGACCTTGATGACCTATGGTTGACTCGGCCTTGGTGTGAGGCAGAGTGTTTGGTGGTGTCACTTGACGGGTGGTCGAGGTTGAGGTTGTATATTTGGGTTTATTGGGAGGTAATGGCGGAGGGGTTGGTTGTGGTGGAGTGTGTTTCTGTGCCCGAGGAGGAGGTGGTGGAGGGGGAGGTGGTGGAGGGGGAGGTGGTGGAGGAGGAGACCGCTCGTGCTGTGTGTCTGAGGGTGACTCCGGTACAGCCAGGGGTGGAGGAGGATGTTCAGGGCTGGACGACCCTTCCTGTGTGGACGTCTGTCGGTTGATTGGTCTACACCTGGATCTGTTCTCACCTGGGGACTTGGATCTGTTCTCACCTGGGGACTTGGATCTGTTCTCACCTGGGGACTTGGATCTGTTCTCACCTGGGGACTTGGATCTGTTCTCACCTGGGGACTTGGATCTGTTCTCACCTGGGGACTTGGATCTGTTCTCACCTGGGGACTGACTTGGTAACCCGGACTTATCACCACCTGGGGAGTGACAGTCGAAATATCCACCAATCACATCTCTGTTATTAACTGGTCCACCAATCACATCTCTGTTATTAACTGGTCCACCAATCACATCTCTGTTATTAACTGGTCCACCAATCACACCTCTGTTATTAACTGGTCCACCAATCACACCTCTGTTATTTAGTGGTTTAGTCTTGTATCTCGATTCCTGTAGTGAAGCTTGTCTAAATAACGCATCGTAAGGGCAAATGAGGGGCGGTGGTGGGTGTGATGGGCGGGTAATCCACCTGTAGAGTTGTTGGTCTGATGTAGTCACTGTAGACTTCTGTAGACACTCTTCAGGGTCTTCCTCTGGCAGGGATGACTGTCTGTAGATCTGTAGGTAAGACCCCAGAATGCTAGGGTGGCAAGGATGAGTGGGCAGAGAGGCTTGTCTTTGTAACTGTTGAGATGGTGATGGTTGTTTGGTCAGGTGAGTGGGGCTGGTGGAGAGGTGAGTGGGGCTGGTGGAGAGGTGAGTGGGGCTGATAGAGAGATGAGTGGGGCTGTGGTTGTGAGCCAGTGGCGTGTTTCTAGCCTTTGGAGGAGTGTTGTTGGTCCTCTCATCGTGGGTGGCGGGGTCCCTCTTATCGGCGGGGTCCCTCTTATCGGCGGGGTCCTTCTCGTTGTGCTGGGAGTCTCTGTTATTATCCACCAGCAGGAGGGAGGAGGAGGAGGAGGCCCTTCTGGAGGAGGAGTACTGCCACAGGGAACACTGCCTGAAGATATTTCGAGGGGAGAGGGGGGACTTCCTCACCGACCTCTGCGGGGAGTTAGGGGCGGAGAGGGACCGTATTGGGGAGGAAAACGGAGAGGAATTAAGGCCTGGGGAGGGCACTGGAGAGGGCACTGGAGAGGCACTACGTCTAGGGGTACCTGGTGGGGAGGTGTAGGAGTGTTTGACGAACAGAGAGGAGTAGGGATATCTCGGGGGGGCGGAGACGGGTGAGTTAAGGGGTGATCTGACGGGTGAGGTCCCCCGCTGAGGACTGGTGGGTGAGGCACCTCGCTTGGGTGACCTGAGGGGTGATGTACTACGCCTTCCATTCTCCCTCTGGGGTGATGGCTGCTGGGGTGGGGTAAGCTGGGGTGAACTACTGCGGGAGCTCCTACGGGTTAAGGGGGAAAGTGGGGTGGTGCAGCTGCGGCGGGGGGAGACCGGGGAGGTGCCAGGACTAGTGGTGGAAGGGGAGGGACTAGAGGAACGTCGAGAAGGACTTGAAGACCTGCTTCCAGAGTTCTCCCGAGAGTTCCTCCTGAAGAGACCGACCCTGAAGGAGAGAGAGAGAGTGTGAGAGAGAGAGAGAGAGAGAGAGTGAGAGAGAGAGTGAGAGAGAGAGAGAGAGAGAGAGAGAGAAAGAGAGAAAGAGAGACAGAGAGAGAGAGAGAGACAGAGAGAGAGAGAGAGACAGAGAGAGAGTACCACGAACACAGAGATGACCAATGTTAGGTTAGAGTACATTTTGGTTAGGTTAGGTTTATGACCTTGTCCATGATAAACATTTAACAGACAAAAACATCAACATTTGTTAAACATTTAAGGAAGCAAATGAATAAACAAGCAATAAAAATATAAACATTACCAATAACATCTGTATATAAACATCCAAACTAACATCTAATTAACATTTAAGTTAACAAATATAATTAAACTCTAACTAAATATTCTAAGATAATTTAACATAATTTAACATTTTAACAAACTAAAGACACTAGGTGGTGGGGTGTGGTGGGGTGGGGGTGGGGGTGGGGGTGGTGGGTGGTGGTGTGGTGGTGGTGGGGGGTGGTGGTGGTGGTGGTGGTGGTGGTGGGGTGGTGGTGGTGGTGGTGGTGGTGGTGGGGGGTGTGGTGGTGGTGGTGGTGGTGGTGGTGGTGGTGTGGTGTGGTGGTGGTGGGTGGTGGGGGTGGTGGTGGTGGTGGTGGTTGGGGTGGTGTGGTGGTGGGGGTGTGGGTGGTGGTGGGTGGTGGTGGTGGTGGTGGGGGTGGGTGGTGGTGGTGGTGGTGGGGTGGTGGTGGTGGTGGTGGTGGTGGTGGTGGTGGTGGGGGTGGTGGTGTGGTGGGTGGTGGTGGGTGTGGTGGTGTGGTGGTGGTGGGGGTGGTGGGTGGTGGTGGTGGTGGTGGTGGTGGTGGTGGTGGGGTGGGGGTGGTGGTGGTGGTGGGGGTGGTGGTGGTGGTGGTGGTGGGGTGGGGGTGGTGGTGGTGGTGGTGGTGGTGGTGGTGGTGGTGGTGAGGGTGGTGGTGGTGGTGGGGGTGGTGGGGTGGTGGTGGTGGGGGTGGTGGTGGTGGGGGTGGTGGTGTGCAACTAGGCACTAATATGGTGATAATGGTGACAGTGTTGGTGTTGGAAGCACTATAACTCTATGGTGACAGTGCCGGTGTTGAAGCACTATAACACCTCCTATGGTGATAATGGTGACAGTGCCGGTGTTAGAAGCACATAACACTTTGGTGACAGTGTTGGGGGAAGCACTATAACACTCTATGGTGATAATGGTGACAGTGCCGGTGTTAGAACACTATAACACTCTATATGGTGACAGTGTTGGTGTTAGAAGCACTATAACACCCTCCTATATGGTGATAATGGTGACAGTGCCGGTGTTAGAAGCACTATAACACTATGGTGACAGTGTTGGTGTTAGAAGCCTATAACACCTCCTATGGTGATAATGGTGACAGGTGTTAACACAAACCTCTATGTGAATTGACAGTGCCGGTGTTAAGAAGCACTATAACACTATGGTGACAGTGTTGGTGTTAGAAGCACTATAACACCCTCCTATGGTGATATGGTGACAGTGCCGGTGTTAAGAAGCACTATAACACTCTATGGTGACAGTGTTGGTGTTAAAGCACTATAACACTCTATGGTGATAATGGTGACAGTGCCGGTGTTAAACACTATAACACTCTATGGTGACAGTGTTGGTGTGAAGCACTATAACACCCTCCTATGGTGATAATGGTGACAGTGCCGGTGTTAAGAAGCACTATAACACTCTATGGTGACAGTGTTGGTGTTAAGAAGCACTATAACACCCTCCTATGGTGATAATGGTGACAGTGTTGGTGTTAAGAAGCACTATAACACTCTATGGTGACAGTGTTGGTGTTAGAAGCACTATAACACCCTCCTATGGTGATAATGGTGACAGTGCCGGTGTTAGAAGCACTATAACACTCTATGGTGCGGTGTTAAGCACTATAACACCCCTATGGTGATAATGGTGACAGTGCCGGTGTTAAGAAGCACTATAACACTCTATGGTGACAGTGCCGGTGTTAAGCACTATAACACCCTCTATGGTGATAATGGTGACAGTGCCGGTGTTAAGAGCACTAAACACTCTATGGTGACAGTGCGGTGTTAGAAGCACTATAACACCCTCCTATGGTGATAATGGTGACAGTGCCGGTGTTAGAAGCACTATAACACTCATGGTGACAGTGATGGTGTTGAAGCACTATAACACCCTCTATGGTGATAATAGTAATGCCGGTGTTAAACACTATAACACTCTATGGTGACAGTGTTGGTGTTAGAAGCACTATAACACCCTCCTATGGTGATAATGGTGACAGTGTTGGTGTTAAAGCACTATAACACTATGGTGACAGTGTTGGTGTTAAAGCACTATAACCTCTATGGTGATAATGGTGACAGTCGGTGTTAAACACTATAACACCTCCTATGGATGGTGACAGTGCCGGTGTTAAAGCACTATAACACTCTATGGTGACAGTGTTGGTGTTAGAAGCACTATAACACCCTCCTATGGTGATAATGGTGACAGTGGGTTAAGAAGCACTATAACACTCTAGGTGACATTGTTAGAAGCACTATAACACCCTAGGTGATAGGCAGTGCCGGTGTTAGAAGCACTATAACACTCTATGGTGACAGTGATGGTGTTAGAAGCACTATAACACCCTCTCTATGGTGATAATGGTGACAGTGCCGGTGTTAGAAGCACTATAACACTCTGGTGACAGTGTTGGTGTTAAGAAGCACTATAACACCCTCCTATGGTGAAAATGGTGACAGTGCGGTGTTAAGAAGCACTATAACACTCTATGGTGACAGTGCTGGTGTTAGAAGCACTATAACCCTCCTATGGTGATAATGGTGACAGTGCCGGTGTTAGAAGCACTATAACACTCTATGGTGACAGTGTTGGTGTTAAGAAGCACTATAACACCCTCTATGGTGATAATGGTGACAGTGCCGGTGTTAGAAGCACTATAACACTCTATGGTGACAGTGTTGGTGTTAAAGCACTATAACACCCTCCTATGGTGAAAATGGTGACAGTGCCGGTGTTAAAGCACTATAACACTCTATGGTGACAGTGTTGGTGTTAAGAACACATAACACTATGGTGACGATGCCGGTGTTAGAAGCACTATAACACTCTATGGTGACAGTGTTGGTGTTAGAAGCACTATAACACCCTCCTATGGTGATAATGGTGACAGTGCCGGTGTTAGAAGCACTATAACACACTATGGTGACAGTCGGTGTTAAACACTATAACACCCTCTATGGTGATAATGGTGACAGTGCCGGTGTTAAGAAGCACTATAACACTCATGGTGACAGTGTTGGTGTTAAACACTATAACACCCTCCTATGGTGATAATGGTGACAGTGCCGGTGTTAAACACTATAACACTATGGTGATGACAGTGCCGGTGTTAGAAGCACTATAACACTCTATGGTGACAGTGTTGGTGTTAGAAGCACTATAACACCCTCCTATGGTGATATGGTGACAGTGCCGGTGTTAGAAGCACTATAACACCCTATGGTGACAGTGATGGTGTTAGAAGCACTATAACACCCTCCTATGGTGATAATGGTGACAGTGCCGGTGTTAGAAGCACTATAACACTCTATGGTGATAATGGTGACAGTGCCGGTGTTAAAACACTATAACACTCTATGGTGACAGTGTTGGTGTTAAGAAGCACTATAACACCCCCTATGGTGATAATGGTGACAGTGCCGGTGTTAAGAAGCACTATAACACTCTATGGTGATAATGGTGACAGTGCCGGTGTTAGAGCATAACACCCTCTAGGTATAATGGTGACAGTGCCGGTGTTAGAAGCACTATAACACCCTCCTATGGTGATAATGGTGACAGTGCCGGTGTTGAAGCACTATAACACTCTATGGTGATAATGGTGACAGTGGGTGTTAAACACTATAACACTCTATGGTGATAATGGTGACAGTGCGGTGTTAAACACACTTATGGTGATATGGTGACAGTGCGGTGTTAAAAGCACTATAACACTCTATGGTGACAGTGTTGGTGTTAGAAGCACTATAACACCCTCTATGGTGATAATGGTGACAGTGCCGGTGTTGAAGCACTATAACACTCTATGGTGACAGTGTTGGTGTTAAAGCACTATAACACCCTCCTATGGTCATAATGGTGACAGTGCCGGTGTTAAGAAGCACTATAACACTCTATGGTGACAGTGATGGTGTTAAGCACTATAACACCTCTATGGTGATAATGGTGACAGTGATGGTGTTAGAAGCACTATAACACCCTCCTATGGTGATAATGGTGACAGTGCCGGTGTGAAGCACTATAACACTCTATGGTGATAATGGTGACAGTGCCGGTGTTAGAAGCACTATAACACCCTCCTATGGTCATAATGGTGACAGTGCCGGTGTTAGAAGCACTATAACACTCCTATTGATAATGGTGACAGTGCCGGTGTTAAACACTATAACACTCTATGGTGATATGGTGACAGTGGGTGTTAAGAAGCACTATAACACTCTATGGTGATAATGGTGACAGTGCGGTGTTAGAAGCACTATAACACTCTATGGTGATAATGGTGACAGTGCCGGTGTTAGAAGCACTATAACACTCTATGGTGACAGTGTTGGTGTTAGAAGCACTATAACACCCTCTGATAATGGTGACAGTGCCGGTGTTAGAAGCACTATAACACTCTATGGTGACAGTGTTGGTGTTAGAAGCACTATAACACCCTCCTATGGTCATAATGGTGACAGTGCCGGTGTTAAGAAGCACTATAACCTCCGGTGACAGTGCGTGTTGAAGCACTATAACACCCTCCTATGGTGATAATGGTGACAGTGCCGGTGTTAAGAAGCACTATAACACTCTATGGTGACAGTGATGGTGTTAAGAAGCACTATAACACCCTCCTATGGTGATAATAGTGACCTACCACAATATCACCGCCATGGTACAAGTGTTATTTTCTGCGGCTAGTTGATGGTGAAGTGTTCTTGGCTCTTGAAGAACTCCTGAACAAACTACACGTGGACAAACAGAAGAACATTGAACAAACAAGCTGGTAATAACATATGAACAATGAACAAATAGGTGGGGAGTAACATATGAACAAGAACAGTGAACAAACAAGCTGGTAATAACATATGAACAATGAACAAATAGGTGGGGAGTAACATATGAACAAGAACAGTGAACAAACAAGCTGGTAATAACATATGAACAATGAACAAATAGGTGGGGAGTAACATATGAACAAGAACAGTGAACAAACAAGCTGGTAATAACATATGAACAATGAACAAATAGGTGGGGGTAACATATGAACAAGAACAGTGAACAAACAAGCTGGTAATAACATATGAACAATGAACAAATAGGTGGGGGTAACATATGAACAAGAACAGTGAACAAACAAGCTGGTAATAACATATGAACAATGAACAAATAGGTGGGGTAACATATGAACAAGAACAGTGAACAAACAAGCTTAATAACATATGAACAATGAACAAATAGGTGGGGTAAACATATGAACAAGAACAGTGAACAAACAAGCTGGTAATAACATATGAACAATGAACAAATAGGTTGGGGGTAACATATAGAACAAGAACAGTGAACAAACAAGCTGGTAATAACATAGAACAATAAACAAATAGGTGGGGAGTAACATATGAACAAGAACAGTGAACAAACAAGCTGGTAATAACATATGAACAATGAACAAATAGGTTGGGAGTAACATATGAACAAGAACAGTGAACAAACAAGCTGGTAATAACATATGAACAATGAACAAATAGGTGGGGTAACATATGAACAAGAACAGTGAACAAACAAGCTGGTAATAACATATGAACAATGAACAAATGGTGGGGTAACATATGAACAAGAACAGTGAACAAAGGAATGTTCAAAATAACACACACACACACACACACACACACACACACAAAGCTATGAATGAAAGCTATACAATCAGCCGTACACATACTGGTCAAATGGGCCCCAGGCATGGGCCCTTTGGAGCCAGGGGCCTTAGAGGGGGAGCTGGGGCCTATTAGAGCACAGGGGCCTAGCAGATCTGGGGCCCTTTAGAACTGGGGCCTATTAGAACTGGGCCCATGTACGGCCCATTAGAACTGGGACTATTAGAACTGGGGCCCATTAGAACTGGGGCCCATTAGAACTGGGGCCCATTAGAACTGGGGCCCATTAGAACTGGGACCTATAAGAACTGGGGCCCTATGCTGGAACTGGGGCCTAACAGAACTGGGGCCCAGTAGAAGCCTGGGGCCTAGACCCCTAGAACTGGGGCCCCTTGAACTGGGGCCCACTTGACACACTACTACAATAACCTACACAGCAATACCCACATCAACCCACATCAGCACACCCTACAGTACACCCCCCCACCCACACCCCTACCGTCACCTCACCTTCTAGCAGGATGACAGAGGCCTCGTGGACAGGTAACTCCAGGTGGACAGTTACCGTCACACACCCCACCCCCACCACCCTACCCGTCACCTCACCTTCTAGCAGGATGACAGAGGCCTCGTGGACAGGTAACTCAGGTGGACAGTTACCGTCACACACACACCACCCCCACACACCCCTACCGTCACCTCACCTTCTAGCAGGATGACAGGGCCTCGTGGACAGGTAACCCCAGGAGGACGTTACAGTCACACTCCCCCCACCCACACCCCTACCGTCACCTCACCTTCTAGGGATGACAGAGGCCTCGTGGACAGGTAACTCAGGTGGACAGTTCACACACACCCCACCCCCACCCACCCTACGTCACCTCACCTTCTGAGGATGACAGAGGCCTCGTGGACAGGTAACTCCAGGAGGACAGTTCGTCACACACACCCACCCCCACCCACACCCCTACCGTCACCTCACCTTCTAGCAGGATGACAGAGGCCTCGTGGACAGGTAACCCCAGGAGGACAGTTACCGTCCCACACCCCACACCCCCCACCCACACCCCTACCGTCCACCTCACCTTCTAGCAGGATGACAGAGGCCTCGTGGACAGGTAACTCCAGGTGGACAGTTGCAACCCCACCACACCCCTACCGTCACCTCACCTTCTAGGATGACAGAGGCCTCTGGACAGGTAACTCAGGTGGACAGTTACCGTCACACACCCCACCCCCCACCCCACACCCCTACCGTCACCACCCTGCAGGATGACAGGGGCTCGTGGACAGGTACCAGGAGGACAGTTACCGTCACCCACCCCACCCCCACCCGTCACCTCACCTTCTAGCAGGATGACAGAGGCCTCGTGGACAGGTAACCCCAGGTGGACAGTTACCGTACACCCCCACCCCCACCCACTACCGTCACCTCACCTTCTAGCAGGATGACAGAGGCCTCGTGGACAGGTAACTCCAGGTGGACAGTTACCGTCACACACACCCACCCCCCACCCACACCCCTACCGTCACCTCACCTTCTAGCAGGATGACAGAGGCCTCGTGGACAGGTAACTCCAGGAGGACAGTTACCGTCACACACACCCACCCCCACCCACACCCCTACCGTCACCTCACCTTCTAGCAGGATGACAGAGGCCTCGTGGACAGTTACCGTCACACACCCACACACCTACCGTCACCCACCTTCAGCAGGATGACAGAGGCCTCGTGGACAGGTAACTCAGGTGGACAGTTACCGTCACACACACCACCCCCACCCCACACCCTGTCACCTCACCTTCTAGCAGGATGACAGGGCCTCGTGGACAGTTACCGTACACACCCACACCCACACCCCTACCGTCACCTCACCTTCTAGCAGGATGACAGAGGCCTCGTGGACAGGTAACTCCAGGAGGACAGTTAGTCACCACACACCCACCCCCCACCCACACCCCTACCGTCACCTCACCTTCTAGCAGGATGACAGAGGCCTCGTGGACAGGTAACCCCAGGACAGTTACCGTCACACACCCCACCCCACACCCCTACCGTCACCTCACCTTCTAGCAGGATGACGGAGGCCTCGTGGACAGGTAACTCCAGGTGGACAGTTACCGTACACACACCCCCACCCACACCCCTACCGTCACCTCACCTTCTAGCAGGATGACAGAGGCCTCGTGGACAGGTAACCCCAGGAGGACAGTTGCACATCACACACCCCTACCGTCACCTCACCTTCTAGCAGGATGACAGAGGCCTCGTGGACAGGTAACCCCAGGAGGACAGTTACCGTCACACTCCCCACCTGGCACACTCCCTACCGTCACCTCACCTTCTAGCAGGATGACAGAGGCCTCGTGGACAGGTAACCCCAGGAGGACAGTTACCGTCACACATTTCCCCGACGCTCAATGAGTGGTAGTATGAGGCCAAGAGCTGTTTAGCCATTTGTTCGTCTTCCTCTTCCAAGGTCACGTCAGGGTACTTAGCCCGAAGCCTCCGTCGTTCCTGGCAATTAGTGGGGTAATTAGTGGGCATACAGGTGTGTGTGGACTAATTAGTGGGCGTACAGGTGCGTTAAGGTCAGTAGTGAGGTACAGGTGTGTTAAGGTCATTAGTGAGGTACAGGTGTGTTAAGGTCATTAGTGAGGTACAGGTGTGTTAAGGTCATTAGTGAGGTACAGGTGTGTTAAGGTCATTAGTGAGGTACAGGTGAGTTAAGGTCATTAGTAAGGTACAGGTGTGTTAGGGTCATTAGTGAGGGTTATTAGTGGAAGTACAGGTGTGTAGAGTAATTAGTAGCAGTACAGGTGTGTGGACTAATTAGTGGCAGTACAGGTGTGTAAAGTAATTAGTAACGGTAATCAAGGGATTTAAAGACACAGAAAGACACAATTAGATATATACTTAGACAGACAGACAGACAGACAGACAGACAGACACAGAGAGACAGACAGACAGACAGACAGACAGACAGACAGACAGACAGACAGAGAGACAGACAGACAGACAGACAGACAGACAGACAGACAGACAGACAGACAGACAGACACAGAGAGACAGACAGAGAGAGAGAGAGAGAGAGAGAGAGAGACAGAAAACTCACCTCAGCCATCCTATCATTTTCAAAATCCTGCAGCTGTTTCAGGAACCCTACATTAGGATTAGCCACGTTACGGGCGCCTCTCACAGCCTTCAGAGCGTCCCTCCAACTCAAAGACGTCACGCACATCACGTAGACAACGGCTACTGTGACGGACCTAGACATACCGGCCAAACTGGGGAGTAGGGGGAGGGGAGGGAGAGGGGTGTTAAAGTACCGGGAGATTTAGTGGGGGCGAAGGATTATTCCCAGCCTCGTAGGATGTTTTTAGAGGTTATTGTAGGATATTTATGGAAGGACAGTTCATGAAAGGATACCAGAGTTGTACCTTAGTTTTGATGGATGTTTTTTGATGTTTATTTGGGATATTATTCATCATGGACTCCTAGTAGAGGTTAGTTATTTATTGTGGACACGTGCTAGTTGTATTTACTAACCAATATCACTAGTTACTCACCTTTAACACCTACTAGTGCTATTTACTCACCCTACTAGTACTATTTACTCACCAGTGGATGAGTACGCCTCCTCCCTTGAGTCTAGCCGTGTGTATGAAGTCATTACAAACTGGGAAATATTGCATCAGGTTCTGCCCAGGTGAGTCGGAGGCCAGTATACATAGGTACTCTTTGTCCTGGGGGAGAGGGAGAGGGGTGAGAGGGGTGAGAGGGGTAGGGGAGAGGGTGGGGGGAGAGGGGGAGAGGGGTAGGGGAGAGGGGTAGGGGAGAAGGATAGAGAGGGATAGAGAGAGAGAGAGTTATGCATCAGTTTAAAGAACATATGTAATAAATTATAATACAATATAGTGCAATACTTCCACGCCCACGCCCACGCGATACTTACAGAGTTACAAGGTAGTTTACGGGCGTTGTCGTGAATGGACAGAATATGGGTAATGTTATGCGTCTTCAGTTGGTTAGGGTCCTTACTATCTCTGAAGTTCCCAACGTACACCCCGGGGAGTACCTGTGGGGAGATGGGGGAGATTAGTGGGGTGATGGGGAGGGGGTGATGGGGAGGGGGTGATGGGGAGGGGAGGGGGTGATGGGGAGAGGAGGGGGTGATGGGGAGGGGGTGAGCTATGACCTGTCTGCCACACACACACACAGACAGACAGACGCGACCTTCCTCTTTAAAACGGGAAAAGTCTACAATGATCATTCATACATACATACATACATACATACATACATACATACATACATACACACATACATACATACATAGACTCGAATCACCTCTTAAACTTCAATCAACCAATGACCAATCTTCCCTGAGCCTCTAGTCCAATTAGAATCCAGAAAATCAAAACCCAATGAGAATCTTGCGTTGTACCTACCTAGTTACCTCGGTATTCTCTCACTACCTACCTACTGCTCTTTACACACACACACACACACTACACACACACACACACACACACAAGGGTACATCTCCACCATCAATGTTTACATAGACTGGCAACCTCTCAGTGCTGTGTCTACCTGAGAGAGAGAGAGAGAGAGAGACTCGCTTCACCCAACACCCACACGTCAGCTGTCAGCCGGCCCCTGACATCGCTACACTCCGCTCAAAATCACGGTCGTCAGCTAAATTCCCTCCTGATACTCCTGACAGTACTAGTCAGTAATAGTCTTTATATTTCTGTTATTTCCCGTTCAGAAATTATTCCTAGAACGCGTAGGATGGCCTTTGAGAATCCATCTTTGTGTGGTAGCTTAAGTGAGACAGTTAGATACGTTCTCACATCACCAGTTAGGAGGAAAACTTAACGTAGGAACCTTTGAGAATCCATCTTTGTGTGGTAGCTTAAGTGAGACAGTTAGATACGTTCTCACATCACCAGTTAGGAGGAAAACTTAACGTAGGAACCTTTGAGAATCCATCTTTGTGTGGTAGCGTAAGTGAGACAGTTAGATACGTTCTCACATCACCAGTTAGGAGAACATCACCAGTTAGAGGAAACAAACGGTAGGAACCTTTGGAGAATCCATCTTGTGTGGTAGCTATGAGTCAGTTAGATACTGCTCCCCTCACATCACCAGTTAGGAGGAAAACTTAACGTAGGAACCTTTGAGAATCCATCTTTGTGTGGTAGCTTAAGTGAGTCAGTTAGATACGTTCTCACATCACCAGTTATGAGGAAAACTTAACGTAGGAACCTTTGAGAATCCATCTTTGTGTGGCAGCTTAAGTGAGACAGTTAGATACGTTCTCACATCACCAGTTAGGAGGGAAACTTAACGTAGGAACCTTTGAGAATCCACCTTTGTGTGGTAGCTTAAGTGAGACAGTTAGATACGTTCTCACATCACCAGTTAGGAGGGAAACTTAACGTAGGAACCTTTGAGAATCCATCTTTGTGTGGTAGCTTAAGTGAGTCAGTTAGATACGTTCTCACATCACCAGTTAGGAGGAAAACTTAACGTAGGAACCTTTGAGAATCCATCTTTGTGTGGTAGCTTAAGTGAGACAGTTAGATACGTTCTCACATCACCAGTTAGGAGGAAAACTTAACGTAGGAACCTTTGAGAATCCATCTTTGTGTGGTAGCTTAAGTGAGACAGTTAGATACGTTCTCACATCACCAGTTAGGAGGAAAACTTAACGTAGGAACCTTTGAGAATCCATCTTTGTGTGGTAGCTTAAGTGAGACAGTTAGATACGTTCTCACATCACCAGCTAGGAGGAAAACTTAACGTAGGAACCTTTGAGAATCCATCTTTGTGTGGTAGCTTAAGTGAGACGGTTAGATACGTTCTCACATCACCAGTTAGGAGGAAAACTTAACGTAGGAACCTTTGAGAATCCATCTTTGTGTGGTAGCTTAAGTGAGTCAGTTAGATACGTTCTCACATCACCAGTTAGGAGGAAAACTTAACGTAGGAACGTTTGAGAATCCATCTTTGTGTGGTAGCTTAAGTGAGTCAGTTAGATACGTTCTCACATCACCAGTTAGGAGGAAAACTTAACGTAGGAACGTTTGAGAATCCATCTTTGTGTGGTAGCTTAAGTGAGACAGTTAGATACGTTCTCACATCACCAGTTAGGAGGAAAACTTAACGTAGGAACCTTTGAGAATCCATCTTTGTGTGGTAGCTTAAGTGAGTCAGTTAGATACGTTCTCACATCACCAGTTAGGAGGAAAACTTAACGTAGGAACGTTTGAGAATCCATCTTTGTGTGGTAGCTTAAGTGAGACGGTTAGATACGTTCTCACATCACCAGTTAGGAGGAAAACTTAACGTAGGAACCTTTGAGAATCCATCTTTGTGTGGTAGCTTAAGTGAGTCAGTTAGATACGTTCTCACATCACCAGTTAGGAGGAAAACTTAACGTAGGAACCTTTGAGAATCCATCTTTGTGTGGTAGCTTAGTGAGTCAGTTAGATACGTTCTCACATCACCAGTTAGAGGAAAACTTAACGTAGGAACCTTTGAGAATCCATCTTTGTGTGGTAGCTTAAGTGAGACAGTTAGATACGTTTCACATCACCAGTTAGGAGGAAAACTTAACGTAGGAACCTTTGAGAATCCATCTTGTGTGGTAGCTATGAGTCAGTTAGATACGTTCTCACATCACCAGTTAGGAGGAAAACTTAACGTAGGAACCTTTGAGAATCCATCTTTGTGTGGTAGCTTAAGTGAGTCAGTTAGATACGTTCTCACATCACCAGTTAGGAGGAAAACTTAACGTAGGAACCTTTGAGAATCCATCTTTGTGTGGTAGCTTAAGTGAGTCAGTTAGATACGTTCTCACATCACCAGTTAGGAGGAAAACTTAACGTAGGAACCTTTGAGAATCCATCTTTGTGTGGTAGCTTAAGTGAGACAGTTAGATACATTCTCACATCACCAGTTTGTGAAAGAATAAATATATTGAATTAAAAACGTTAATATTTTACTAATATTTTACTTAAATTCTTAGAAATAATAAAAATAAATGGAAATAAAGTCTGTATGTGGCATGGTAAGCGTCGCCCACTTATATACAAAGAAAAGTCCTCCATTGTTTTGTAATAGACGACTGAATCCAAAGCCTCTTCCATGTTGAAACAAAAGAGGATTTCATGGTATAGAGATTCTAGCCCTTGTTTACCCTGAACCCTGATGCTCTTTTGTTTTTTTAAAGAAGACTGGAATGTCCTCTCTCTCTACAGGAAGGAGATGGAATTTATACGAAAGGGACTTGGGATCTTTTTATATGCTGAATTGTGATGCGTTTTTGTTTATTAGGCGACCTGAGTAGAGAAGGGAGTCTGGCACTTATAGAGTTTACCGATCACATGAAGATTAAACACCCAGATGATATTTGGGAGGGAGGGAAGGAAGGGTAGAGGAGGGAAGGAAGGGTAGAGAAGGGAGAGGGAGGGAGGGAAGGGGGGACGATGGGAGGGAACAGAGACCTTGGAATAATATACAGAGAGAAACAAGGAGTGGAGAGAGATAAAGAGAGAGAGAGAGAGAGAGATAGACGTCAGGTTATGAAAATTTTATTCACTAAAGATACACAACTGGTTCACTCGGCACTAATCCCTCCTCTCTACCTATCCTCCCCTAACCTAACCTAACCTAACCTAGCCTCCCCTAACCTAACCTAACCTCCCCTAACCTAACCTAACCTAGCCTCCCCTAACCTTACCTCCCCACCTCTCCTCTCCCTACCCTTCTCTCTTCCTTTCCTTCCTCACATCTCCCTTCATTTCCCCTTCCCTCCCTTCAACTCTTCCTTCCCTAGTTCCCTCCCCACCTCGCCCCTCCCCACCTCGCGCCACCCCACCTCGCCCCTCCCCACCTCGCCCCTCCCCGCCTCTCCCCCCCAACTAAAGTTTGTCATTCTCCTTCTCAAAATATTTTCGTCTCGGTATATCTGTTAAGTCCCAAGAAAATTGAGGCGATCAGACCCCATGGAAAGGTGATCAGACCCCATGGAAAGGTGATCAGACCCCATGGAAACGTGATCAGACCCCATTGAAATGTGATCAGACCCCATAAAAGGTGATCAGACCCCATGGAAACGTGATCAGACCCCATGGAAACGTGATCAGACCCCATGGAA